AAACTGGAATTGGCGCTGTGGCTCAAGTGCTAGAGCACTAGCCTTTAGCACAAAAAGCTCAGGGACAGTGCCCAGACACTTGAGTTCAAGCCCCACAACTGGCAAAAAAGAAAAAGATGTGAACCAGGCATGGAGGCACATGCCTACTGGGGAGGCTAGTCAGGTGATTGCCAAGTTGGGGGCTAGTCTGGGCAATTTGGTAGTCCCCTGTCTCAAAATAAAATTTTATTGTTTAAAAACTTTTTATTTTTTATATTTTTGCTTATGTGGTGCTGCCTCATGCATGCAAGGCAAGCGCTCTACCACTGAGCCACCTTCCCAGCCCCATCAAAATAAAATTTTAAAACGGGAAAGTATTAGAAAAAGCTAACGACCTTCCATTGGGTTTACCTCATATCTGCTTCAAATCAGAATGGCCAAAGCTTTCTGTTTGGGCCTGAAACAAAGGGATCCCTGCCCCAGGTCCAGGTGGGGTATGTACTTCTTAGAATGTTCTGGAGTTTAGTATATGCTTATGTCTGAGGTGTATGTCCCTCCGTTAGGAGAATCCCTAGCTAGGCAAGAGCATCTGTCCTGAGGCGGTGCCAGTCCCTAGGCCAAGTCCTTGTCTCCACCAAGGGAAATCTGTTTCCAACTAGATTGCCCCCGATGCTGACTCCTCCCTCTCCTCCTCCATCTTCCACCCTCCCCAGGCACAGATCTCCAACTTCAAGCGGGAGAATGAAGCCCTGCGGTCAGGGCAAGGCGCCAGCCTGACAGTGGTGAAGCAGAACACCGATGTAGCCCTGCAGAACCTCCGTGTGGTCATGAACAGCGCACACGCATCCATAAAGTGAGTGGCTGGGGCCCAAAAGCCCCGTGGCAGGTGACAGGCAAGGTTGGCATGCTGTTCTGGGTGGTACCTAGGCTCTGCAGTCCATAACTGGACTGGGGGGCACCAGAGAGGGAAGTGCATTGGATGGTCTTGTTAAGCCACCCGGCTGTGCTATGGCATTATTATGCCCAGACACTTGAGTTCAAGCCCCACAACTGCCATTATTATGGCCTGAACTCAAGGCCTAGGCACTGTCCCTAAGCTTCACTCAAGGCTGGCACTCTATTACTTAGAGCCACAGCTCCACTTCTGGCCTTTTGGTGGTTAATTGAAGATCAGAATCTCATGAATTTCCCTGCCCAGGTTGGCTTTGAACTTTGATCCTTAAATATCGGTCTTCAGAGTAGCTAGGATTACAGATGTGAGCCACCAAAGGTTCTGAATACAGGGAATGATAATAATTTCTCTCCTATTATGAGAACCAGGTGCATTCATAAAAGGCTGTGGGCACAGTGGGCACTCTGGGCACTGTTAGTTGCTGTTATTATTGATGATGATAGAAGCTTGATGTAATACAGGTGTATCCTGATAAAACTATGGGAAATGGAAAGCACCCTGTGTCATAAATTTACTTAATAAAGCTTACCTACCTACCAAGTACAGTGCACAGCATGCCCTCAATCATGTTTGGCCATGGCTCTGGCCGCCCCAGGCATCTTAAGACTACTGTACCACACATGGCCTGGGGAAAGATAATTTGCCTTTCCATTTCTGAAGAACAGTGGCTTCCTCCCCATTGTAAATTGGGGACCAAATGCCCCCAGTCTGGGGGTGTATGGTGCTGCGTATGGTGCTGGCCAGCATACCAGCACTGGTGGGTAATAAGAGTCATTTTCCTATTGAGCCCCAGCCAGCTAGAGGGTTTCCCCTCTGGAACCCCTTTGCTTTAGTCCTTCTGTTGTTGAATCACTGCAGTAACGGCCCCTAATATCTGTTTTTCCATTTTAGGCAGCTGGTTTCTGGAGCAGAAACACTGAATCTTGTTGCTGAAATCCTTAAATCTATAGACAGAATTTCTGAAATTAAAGATGGGGAGGAGAACTCTTGAGAACCACTAGCTGCTTCCAGCCCCCAGGTGTGTGTGCTGAGATCAACACTGTACCCCTAACTGAATGTGCACCCCCTAACTATGCAGTCTTCACCCAAAGTGTTTATCATGAGATGCTGATTTCATGACCTAAAAGAGTATTTATTATTGGTCACCTGCAACTGGAGCGGCTCCTGTCAGTTTATGTGCAGTGCTTCTTGGTGATGTTCACACTGTTTTCCAGATGCAATAACCTATTGAAAAGTTTTACAAAATCCAGTCATCTTTTAATTTTAAATATGAAAGTAGCACTGAGCTAATAACTTTGTTATCATCTCAGAACATGAACTGTATGAGAAGCGCACTACTCAGCCTTGATTTTATAAGCTGTTGCAGAGATGAGCAGTCTGGATAGGGACTTGGACTTGGTGTCTTTATGATCACTCGGTGCCCCACTGAGTGCCAGCTCCCTGTAGTTTCTACAGGGCAGCTCCTGTGATCCGTGGCCCCAGCACAGAGGTTCCACTGAGTAGATGACTGCAGGGACTGAGGTCATGACATTCCACATTGTGAAGCTGTCTGACCACTGAGCTTTCAGGGATGAAATGGATACTTTAATTCGGGAAAGCTGGTTTTGGCTAGAGGTTCTGCTATGGGCCATTTTGTATGAGAATTCAGGAAGTTAGAACAAATGCAGGCCTCCCAGGGGGTGCTGGGTTTCCAGTGGGGAAGATAGGACAGCCATCTGTGCCTTTTGGCTATTTCCTTATCAATGTTACATTTTTAAAAGTTCCTTTCCCTTCCTGTTCAGATTGACAGCTTTCTGTTTAAATAAATGCTGAAGTTAATGTGCATCGCCTTTTCACTTTGGCTTGGCTGTTTGTTCATGCTTGAGAGCCAGCGGGCCTGTGTAATGATCTGCAATCAGCATGGGCCTGCATCGGCCCTCCTGGCATGCCTTCCTACTGTCCTCTGGCACCAAGCACTGTCTCTTGGGTATCCTGGCATTGCTGGCTTATTCAGCCTTTTGGTCCTTGGGAGCAGGGGCAGACTGGGGGGAAACCACACATTGTCTGCATGGTGTGTAAGCTACAGAGCAGTGTTTTGGGAGTGTTGGACAGGGGATTCTAACTTCAGAATGCCCCTACAAATGAGGTTGGTTGGGTTTTCAGACAAGATATTTAAACTGCTAGATTCTGACTAACTACAGGTAAAGCGGGGACTTTTCCTAGCCCCTGTATGGACCTTGTGAATCATGCATCCCATTCTCTCTCCACTCCCAGGTCAGCCAGTTAGGGCAGAACAGAGTCTGCATCTCCTGCAGACCTGTCCCCAGGCCTGTGTGAGAAAGACTTTCTGGAGCAGAGGGACAGGCAAGTGAGATGACGTCTGGGGCTCCTTCACTGGCTGGGCCTGGCACAGGGGAGCCACCCAGAGCAGCCCTCAGGCCACACCTGCCCTGGATCTGGCTCCCTACGACGGTGGCAGCTACAGGCCAAGGCTAGTGGGGTGGAGTGAGGTTCAGACGCGGGTGGAGGGACCTAGCCACGTGTCTGCAGTTCGCTTGGTCTGTGTGAAGTGTTCCTGGGTAGCTGGAGTGTCCTCCCGGGCTGGGGGTTGCCGGGTGTCTTCGCACTCTCGGGCCGGGAAGGTCTCCAAAGGCAGGAGCCGCGGACTCAAGCCCGCTCCTGCCAGCCCGGAGCGCCCCCGAGTGGGCGCCCGTGGGGGCCG